GAGTTTGTTTCTTTACCTCAAGTGTAAGAGGAGAAGTAGTTGGGTAATAACGTTCTACGGCTTGACCATTCTTGTCAACAAGAAACTTAGCAAAGTTCCATTGAATGTCGTCGCCGAAGATTCCCCATTTGCCTTTCTTCAAGAACTTATAAAGAGGCGAAGCATTCTCTCCGTTTACTTCAATCTAATATACACAATGGGAAAAAGATTCAATTGTTTTCCAACACAACAAGTCACAGAGAGAATTGTAATGATCTTCGTCAAGCGATCTACCTTGTTGAAAATGGGGAATTCAGATTTGAACCGAGTACATACAAAGTCGGTAATTTGGTCAGTAGTTCCCGGTTCCTCTTCACCAAATTGGTTACAAGGAAACGCTAGAATCTCCAGACCTGCAACAGAACAGAACAACATCAAGTTGAGAAGCTAATCGCGTGGAAGAAACAAGAGACTTAAGACATTTTTGTTGAAATCAATAATTACCTTTGTCTTTGTACTTATTGTAAAGCTCATTCAATTCAGTGTAGTTTGAGTTTGTCATACCACTGAGACCATCAGAGTTTAAACAGGAGGGACAATCGAGAAAAATCATCAGTACACCGACAAAATCACAAATCGAAGTAGCTCATAAAAGCAAGCGTAGAAGATAACCATTTGGAAGCAACATTGACAATTAAAAGGACTTTGTCTTTGTATTGACTAAGTTCTAAGCTGTTTCCCATTGCATCCTGTTGCAAGCAGAAGAAGAATTATTCAAGTAAAGATTCCAACTTTGAAACTCAGAGCTTAACACAAGAAAACAATCAAAGATCATAAAGAACACAAAACTCAAAGACCAATCAACACAAGATCATTTGCCACATTTCTTATTATCCATACAAGCCAAAACAAAAACCTAAAGGATTCATATAGAGGCTCAAGATGCAAGCTTTTTTTCACCCTCTTAAAACCCGAAATCAAAAGGCTCTTCCTTTAAACATATTTAGCACATATCGAAGGTTATTAGAGTGTTGAATCGATGATTGAAAGTTAAGAAAATCTTTTGACCTCGATGCTTATATCGTAAACAGACTCTGGATCTTTAGTCGCCATTGAAGTAGAAATTCAGAAGCAG